CAAGGAGCTTCAACGAAGACCCCAGTGGCGACGTTCGCGTGCGAAGAAGATGGTGAAGAGGTACACCCTAGCTCTGGAGTAGTACCTCCATTCCAAGACTAACCATCCAATGGACGCAGTCGCTCATCTGGGGCCCGAGATAAGATAATAATTGCCAGCTCACAACCAGCTCTCATCATACGGGCTCTGCTTGATAATGTGTCACCCTGGCCGATGGTCACCCACCCGCTCTTGGATGTCACGCGTGGCACACTTGTCCAGTAGTTGGGCTGCAACAGGTACTTGGTGGCGATGCTGGATCGCACTTGATTGAACTCTGGGCACTCGGCCCACGTGTGACGAAATGACGGCCAGAGCACACCACAGGCTGCGCACGGAGCTTCACCGAAGGCCCCAGTGGCGACGTTCGCGTGCGCCCGCCCAACCCAGTACAGCGCTTCGTGGCCCCACAGGGAGCTCCACCGAAGGCTCTAATGACGACGGTCGCACGCGCCCGCCCCACCCAGCACAGCGCTTCGTGGCCCCATAGGGAGCTCCACCGAAGGCCCCAATGGCGACGTTCGCTTGCGTCCGCCCCACCTAGTACAGCGCTTCGTGGCCCCACAGAGAGCTCCACCGAAGGCTCCAATGACGATGTTGCATGCGCCCGCCACAACCCAGTACAGCACGTCGTGGCCCCACAGGGAGCTCCACCGAAGGCTCCAATGGCGACGTTCGCTTGCGACCGCCCCACCTAGTACAGCGCTTCGTGGCCCCACAGGGAGCTCCACCGAAGGCCCCAATGGCTACCGCCCGCATGCGCCCCCCCCACCCACCCAGTACAGAGCTCCACCCAAGGCCCCAGTGGCGACGGCCACATTCGTCCTCCCGACTCATGTCGGCGCACCCCTTACACGTTTCGCGGCACGCGCTGCCCACGAGAGTAGAGGCTCTACCGCGCGTGCGATTCCGAGTTCGCGTGCCCCCGCAGTTTCGTCTCAGCTCCCTCGCAGCACGCGCAGCCGCATATGGTTGGGCCCTTCGTCAGGCCAATTTTGTCCTGAGGGTTCCTTCTGGGACGGGTAAACGGTGGCGCGCCGAGGGGGGGTAGGAGAGAGGGGGCAGGCGCCGCGACGGCTTGGAACACGTTTCAGAAGGCAGGAGGCCTCCCGAGCCTTCTGAGGAGGCCCGCCCTCTCTGGCTTCCTTTCCTACTGGGCGCGCCGCCGATAAAAAACTGATCTGGTCTGCCGGCGCTTGGGCTGGCCACCGCCAAGCCCGATGGGCCCCGAGCGGCTGCTCGCCCTCACTACCAGCCCGCCCAGAGCTTGCCCGAGCCAGGAAACGCCGAGAGTGGGGAGGGCTCCGAAGAGGCGGTTCCAGCAAGCAAGTGCGGATGGACCTGTGAGGCTGGCTCGCTCTTTGGGCACCCGAGTTACCCGGGATAGACCTGGTCTGGGGAAGGCCCTGTTTGGCGCCCCCAAATGAGATCCGGGAAAACCCTGGGACAGCTTGATCTGGGATAGCTCCAGCTTCAGGAAAGTGCCGGGCGGGGTCAACGTGGGAGCAGATGCGACCCAGAAGAAGCCGAGCCGAGTGCAATCCTGGGCAACGGGAGGCCCGAAGCAGGAGTGATCCCGAACCCCCCCCCCACCCCCTGCCCCGACAACCCGAGGCTCTGAGCTCCGCCCAGCCCGCCCAGATTCGGGAGCGGCCAAGAGGGTGGGTTTCAAGAGTGGGGGGGGGGGGGCACAAGTCATGGCCGGCGGCATGTGGGCGGCCCAGAGGGGGGGCCAGGGACGTAAGGAAATCAGAAGAGTCGCCAAAACATCTGGGGAGATATCATGGCCCACGCCACGATATTTCCCCCACCCCAGGTCATCACCCCCCTCTCTGCAACCCCCGACTGGAGTGACTTCGAACCACCCCCTGCCCGACCACCCGGGGGCCCTGAGCTCCGCCCAGCCCGCCCAGGCGTGGCCGATCCTCTCGGCAACTGCCCAGGAGGCGCAGTGCGGAGGCAGGTTTAGGTCGGGTATGTCCTCCTGCAGGCGGATTGTGGGCGGAAGAATTTAAGCATGTCGAATATACTCCTAAATAGTCACACACACACACGCACGCACACACACACACACACACACACACACACACACACACACACACACACACACACACACACACACACACACAAATAATAGAAAATAATAGAAAATCATTCCCAGACCATGTTTCTACTATTTTTGGATATTCCCCCTGAGCCTGTAGAGGGACATGCCCGACTTAAAGGTGGGAGCTGGGCTGGGGAGACGGCCCCAGCAAGTTGGTGCGGAGGGCCCTCTGGGGCTGGCGGCGTGGCAGCGTCTGCGCGTCTGCACGGCGGCCCCTGCCGCACTGCCAGAAGGCGCCACGTGCCAGCCGCGCCTTGACTCATGTGGCTCACATCGTACTTACGGGTCAAATCCCAAAAATCATCTCGAGCACCCAGAAAAGTACCGACACTCGAACGAGTATCGCCTCCCAGAGCCCGACACGTGAAAACCCTCCAGGTTCGGTACTTCCTTGATGCTCGACGTTATCTGGTGACTCGGGCTACAGTAGGTTAGGTCGGGTAATCATGTATATATATATATATATATATATAGATGTATTGCAAAACATGTCAAAAAACATCTCCTGACGATGTTTTGACTATTCTCGAATACTCGTCCTGTGGAGGGACATGCCCGACTCAACTCTGCCTCTCCCCTCCCCCACTTCCCCATCTTCGCCTCGGGGATCCACTGACCCAGGCCAGATCCAGACCCCGGTCAGTGAGGATCCTGCAAGATCCTGCAGGATCCTGCAGGACCCTACACCCAAAGCCGGGTCAAGGCACCCCTGGCCCTGCAGGATCCTACAAGATCTGGCGCTCTGACTGACCCCCGTTTGCATTGACCCCCGTCTCTCGAGCGCCGATTCGCCAGACAGCACCGCCTGCCCGGGGCCAGCGTTGCGCGCCGCGTGCGGCTTCCCCAGAGGGGCCTTGCTGGGGAAACCAACAGGCACCGATACCGCTGCTCCCCGGACCTCTCCGAGGGTGCGTTCTGACCAGGATGTTTCGAGAAGAGCCGGCGGTGGCGACGCGAGGGCCTCCCCAGAGGCCCACAAAGAGGCGCGAGGCAAGGGCAGCGGCATGGGTACAAGACCTCTTCCTACTCCAAGATTTTGCGACCCGGGCGGCTCGAGCGAGGCGTCCCTGCTGTGACAGTCCGGGCCACTCACTCGGGTCTCCGCCCGAGCCTCCCGCCCGGACAGCCCCCCGCTTGGAGACGACGCACGGCGGGCGGACGCGCGCGCGCCGCAAGGCGTCCTCGGCAATGTGCCGGCGTGGATTACCCACGGCCGGAGCCCCCAAAAAACATCGGGGCGAGCGCGGCCCACCAGGCGTTGTACATTTCGGTGGCAACTCGTGGGAGCCTCCCATACCATCCTGTCGGCTCTTGCGAAGCGACGCTAGCCGCTAAACCGACGCGAGCCGACGCTAACCGACGCTAAATCGGCGCTGTCTCATCGACGCCCAGACGCTAATCGAAGCTCATCGACGCTCAAGACGGAATTAAGAGGGTATACCAGGCTCCCATGATTTGCTACCGAAGTACATGGTTCGGACTTTGACGGCCGGATGTCTGAAACGTCGAGGCGAGCGCGGCTCGCAGAGCGTTGTGCGAAAACGCTGTAACTGTCAGCATTTGCAGCCTCGGAGAAGCGAAAACGCTGTATGCTTACCGAAAGAGCCCAAGGCATCTAGAGCGCACTTACGTAGCGCACCTTCAGGGTCCCATCCCCCCCAGCTACGCCACCTCCACCGCCACCCACCTCCACAAATCCCTTCCCCCTCCTCACCCTCTGCCCGTCCTCAACCTATTCCATGTTTTTGCCGGCCTCCTCGCACGCCTCCTTCTTCCGCAGGAACGGGAAACGAAGCTACGGGGGAGGTTGGATGCTACATGTGATGAAGATTGTGGGGGTCATGCCATTGCAAACTTGAAGCAAAGAGGAAGCTGCCATTGACAGTATACACACGGAACATAGCGCACGCAAGCTGGCCATATCAATATGACTGTCGCCATCCAATGAAGGTTATGGAGCTTGGGCAACGGTATCTTGTGTCAGCGACGCTCAAAGATCAGCACCCGCTGAATGTGTAGAAAATGGAGGCTTGCCAGTCGTGCACGCGACTCCTCGAAACGCCGCGCGCACGCCTTAGATTGAGACGCATGGCGAAATACTCGGCAGCGTAAGCCCCAGCCACTAAATGTGCACTCTAATCACACAGACCATAGTGAACTCGTGGGATGTGTATGTATAAATATACATATGGTTCACACATTGACATTGCACGTGTAAGCGCAACACGGTGAGATGATTGCAAGCATGTCAAACTCGGAACCTGCATTGGAAGTGCTCACTTGGCAACCTCATAATGATCTCGGCACTCCGACCCTAGCGGTTTTTACTCGGGCGTCGGTAAGCTTATGATAGTTCCTCCTCGACTGCAACCTACCAACTTCACTTATATATTGTTACGATGAAGGTGAGCTGTCACACTTATTACATGCACCGTGGCACTTCGAATTTCCACCCAAAGGAAAAGCAATACAAGTGAACAGTTCCAACATCCATGACACTACAACGCGGATGCCAGTGAGTTAGGAGTTTCATTGGCGAAATTCGATAAGAAATGAGACATACTCATCGCTTGCACCCGAGACCAAACTATTGCAACCGCCTGACACTTTCGAGGCATGTATCCATGCAGAAGACAATAAAACGTAGAGTAACACCAGCGGGAGAGAGAGAGGGAGAAGCAACAGACAGGCAGGCAGGCAGACAGACAGACAGAGGGACAGAAAGACAGGCAGGCAGGCAGGCAGACAGACAGACAGAGCGAATCAGGGAGAAGCAGGGTGAGAGGGAGAGAGAGAAAGAGAGAGGGCAGGAGGGAAAAGATGACGGGGTGTACAATAGCAAAAGGAGCACGCCTCAAGACGGCCCGCGACGCGAACGGCATGGTGTGGGCACTAATCTGCCCGGGTCGACCTTGGCACTCCCGCTTGGCAGCCGGCCGCGGAGATCGAAAGCACCCAACGCTGTCGGGAAGAAGCTCTGCTTACTTGACGCAACCGTCATTTTTTCTCTGGGCTTCTAGCATCTATCATCCTCGCATCGCCGTCGATGTCAACAACAACAACAACAACAACAACAACAACAACAACAACAACAACAACAACAACAACAACAACAACAACATCTACAACAACGACAGCAATAACAACAGCAGCAGCAACAACAACAACAACTACAGCGTCATAATCATCATGACCACCATGCTCTTCATTAGTAGTTCCAACACCACCACCATCGTGAGCGTCAGAGTCATCGCACTACGACATATTTCCACCCCTTCGCGGGGCAGGTGTCACGCTCACGCGTGTGCTCGCCTCCATGATTACGCTTCCCCTCCCTCGGGCCCTGCCCTCGTCGCTGATGTCCTCGCCAATCCCATCTTCTCCTGTCTGATCCCCTCCTTCTCATGTCATGTGCTATCCTGTCCCCTCCTCTCATATCCAACGGCCGCGAAGAGTCACCGCTTAACGCTCGGAGCGAAGAAGCCCAGGGGGCCCTGACTAAAAGCATCTGGTTTCTGGATGCGCGACCCCACTGCAGATGCCTTCTGCGGATGGAGGCCCTCTGAGGCGGTCGACCGCGGACTGCTTGCACAGGGGACAGGAGGGCACCTTCGCGAGCCACTCCTGAGGGTGGGCTGCTCCCTCGTCGATCGTCGATCCCTCCGCCCTCCCCGCCTCTTCTCCCCCGTCCACCCCTTTTGATCCACCCCCCACACCCGTCCCCCGTGGGGACGGGAGGGGGGCAGGGAAGAGGCACAAGGAGAAGGATGAGGCCATTGGGGGTCGCGTGCCTGCCTCCTCGGCACTCGTGAGGCCCCTTGGGTGGGACACGGGTGCGGGCCTCCTCGTAATAGCTTGGAGGCTGCCTGGGGCGACAAGGCCCGAACTCACCCGTACCATGATCCCCAAGCCCCGCCATCAGGAGACCATGCCTGGGAACGTACACGACAGGCGAGAGAAGAGGGGAAAGAGGGGGGAGGAGGCAAGCAAGGCGCGCTGGAGACCGTCTGACATCCTACCCCTCCCACCCATCCGTTCCCATTGCGAAGGTTTCCTGCATCCGCTGACGCGTGTCATAGCGGACCTGGAACTCCAAACAGATCCCATCGTGCTATGCGCAATTGACAAAAGGGAGCCGCGTAGATTGGAGGAGGAGGAGGAGGAGGAGGAGGAGGAGGAGGAGAGGAGGTGGCGGATCGGCAGGAAGATGAGCAGGGGTCAAAGGAGGAAGATGATGAAGGAGTAGGACGAAGACGAACAACAGCAGCAGGGGCTGGAGTGGAAGTAGCGGGAGGAGCAGGAGGATCAGGTGAAGGCGGAGGTGGGGATGACAACGATGAAAAAGAGTTCTGCATCCCATCAAGTGACCCACGCCGAGGCGAGAGCGTCATTGTGAACGACGGGAACAAAAAATGAGACCCACGCTGCAGCGGGAACACCATCACCGAAAGAACTAAGAATGTAAAACAAGGGAAAATCAACTAACGTTCGACATCGCGCGTAAAAAACACAATACGCGGAGAGGGCCGAAGATCATCCGGCCAGAGTCAGGGGAGAGAGAAGAGTAGTACTCATAACGCGTGATTGTCAAGAGAGAGAGAGAGAGGAACGAGAGCGAGAGCGAGCGAGAGCAGCGGGGAAGGGCGCCTCCCTCTCTCCCTGTTGTGCCTCCCCCCCCCCAAAGGGGCCGGGATGCTCCCTCCTCTGGCTCACTCCCTCCGCCGGCCGCCCTGCCCGTCTCCGTCCTCCCTCCGAGCCCGCCGCCTCTCTTCCCCTCCCCCTCGCCTCCAGTGACCCCCACGTCGCCCCTCCTGGCTCCCCCCTTCCCCCCCCCTCCCCTCCCATGTCCGTCAATGCTCCCCTCGCCTCCCCCTCGCCTCCAGGGACTCCCACGTCGCCCCTCCTGGTTCCCCCCTTCCCCCCCCTCCCCTCCCATGTCCGTCCTGCTCCCCTCCCTCTCCTCGCTCTTCCCTCCCCAGCGTACCCCAACGGGGGCCGCCCCGCTCTCCCTCCCTCCCTCCTTCGACTGGTCCCGATGTGGCCCTCCATCCCCCCCTCTCTTCCCTCCGACGCAGGTCCTGGACGCACGCGGTGTGGAAGCGGTGGCCGCACTGCAAAGTCCGCCGACCTCTTGTGGGTGTGGCCAATAGGGCGTGTGAGATGGTCCCCCCCCCCCCCCATATCCCCCCCCCATAAAGGACCTCCCCAAACTTGCAATTTGACCCCCCCCCCGCCCCATATTCCCCCCTCCCCCCAGGGACCCCCCCCCGCCGGTCACGAACGCGTCACAGGGGAATAGCGGGCCCCAAGTTGGTTCAAAAGGGCCCCAAGACCCTCTCCCAGACGGTCCAAGAGGGTCCCGAGACGCCAAACAATCGCTCCAAGACGCTTTACATGGCTTCAAGGTTGTTCAGGAACCTCCCAAGACGCCCCAAGAAGCTTCCAAGGGCTCACAAGGGAGCCCCCACAGGAAACAGTCGTGCCATTCCCTTGGGGAAACGTATATTTGTAACATGTTCGCCCCTGCGGCTTTCACAGTGTCCAAGACGGCCCACGAGGCCCAACGACGCCCAAACACCGCCCAAAAGGGCCCCCCAAAAGGGCTCTAAGACGGCCGACAAGGCTCCCCTGATGGCTTCCGGCGGCCCCAGAACGGCCCCAAGAGGGCGCCCTGAGAGGGGGAACCCGACCAAACATTTCGAGCGCGCGGCCCCCAGAAGCCCCCAGGAGGCCCCAAGAAACTCCCAGGAGGCCCCCAAGAGACCCCAAAGCTGTCTCCAAGAAGCCACCGGGAGGCTTCCCGGGATACCCAATCAGCCATCCGAGTGGCGTCTCGCCCACGACCCAGGCACTGCAGCGGATGGAGCGACGGCACCGACAGATCCGACGGTTCCGGAGCCCGACCACGGTCTCACGTCACAGGCCCTCCAAGATCTCCCAAAGACGGCCGAGGGGTGCCCAGTCAAGCTTCCAGACTGCCCCAGAGACCCCGACGACGGCCCAAGAGGCTTCCCAGAAGGTCTCTGACGGTTCCAGAACAGGCCCAAGAAGCGTCCAGAGTGGGGACCCCAACGATTACTTTGATCGTCCAGCACAGGACGCCCCCGGCCAAAGCGTCCTCCTTGCACTCCTATATCCCACGCCCTCTTCCCCTCCTCCTCCTCCTCCTCCTCCTCCTCCTCCTCCTCCTCCTCCTCCTCCTTTTCCTCTTCCTCTTCTTCCTCCTCCTCCTCGTCCTCCTCCTCCTTCTCCTCCTGTTTCTTCTCTTCTTCTTCTTCCTCCTCCTCCTCCTCCTCCTCCTCCTCCTCATCATCATCATCATCATCATCATCATCATCATCATCATCATCATCATCATCATCAGCATCAGCATCAGCATCAGCATCAGCATCAGCATCAGCATCAGCATCAGCATCAGCATCATAATCATAATCATCATCCTCATCCTCATCCTCATCCTCATCCTCATCATCCTCATCCTCATCATCCTCATCCTCATCCTCATCATCATCACCACCACCACCATCACCACCAACATCATCATCAACATCGTCATCAGCATCATCATCCTCTCCATCATCATCATCATCACCATCATCATCATCAGCAGCAGCAGCATCAGCATCATCATCATCATCATCATCATCATCAGCAGCAGCAGCAACAGCAGCAGCAGCATCATCATCATCATCATCATCATCATCATCATCATCATCATCATCATCATCATCATCATCATCATCATCATGCCCCCGCCCAGAAGGCTTCCAGCGAACCTCCCGCCAGAGACCCCCCAGCCCGACCCCGCCTGCCCCCCGCCACCCCCCGCTCCCCACCCAAGACGCGAACTACAATAAAAGGGGTCGGCGGATGTGGCGCAGGCATGAAGAATCACTTCGAGGTCGCCGTCCTCCTCTGTTGGCAACATCTCGATGCAGATCGCACAGGTTTCCTCCCAATCGTTGGGAGATCCCCTGCTACAAGTCGTGCATTCTCCCTGATATCCAGGTCCAGCTCCTTCTCCTCCTGAACCTCTTCATCACCCGGCGTTGCTGCTGACACTGCTGCTACCGCATATCACGATCACCATCGCCGCTGCACTCCATAGCTTTTGATTGTTATTGACGTTGGCATTCACGCCATAAGCATAAAGTCATTGCCTGCTTATTCCTTCTACAAATTGGTATTACATTGCATGGCATAGCCCCCTCTTAAAATTCGCCAGCACTCTTGGGGGCGAAGGACTGTGTGACTCCCTGCTGGACTGCTGCATTGCGAAAATTTCCTCTCGCGTTGCTTATCGTCCCGTGTTTCTCTTTCTCTATCTCTCTATATGAGATGTCTTATTCGCTAGGGATTGCAACAGCAGGCTCAAGGGTGATCGAAAATACGGCGGTCAGGTTAAACGGCGGACCACTCTACCATCAGCGCGGCGAGCGGGAACCCTACCGATGAGGTGGGTCAGACCGCTGGGCTGGGCTGCCCTGCGCAACTCGCGATCCACAGGGCCAGGGAGCCGAGGAGGACTGGTCGCGAAAAATATATGCCAGCATCTTGGCTGCCTGGGGTCTGACATATGGGCCAGACCAGACAACGAAGGCGGTCGTGAAAATCGACGCCGCACGTGGGGCAGCTGGATGTCGAAATGTGAGATCGCACAGCCGAGCGCACACCATGCTTGAAACGCCGATGCTGTGCCAGGGCTTTCGGGTCGGCGGACGCCTGGCCACCGTGCCTCTGGCGCGAAGTGGAGTGCCCCAAGGCTCGTGCAGAACTGAGAGGCAGAGGCTTTGTGAGGTCATGAATGGCCTGGACCCATGGTTTCCCGCGCGGTCCTGGGCGCTACCAGGTGTTCTCGGGCGCTTCCGGGCTTTTCCGCGTGGGCCTCCGGGACTGTCGCCTTAGTCAGGAGGACCCCAAAAGAAACCAAGAAAGCCCAGGGAGTTCACCCAGATAGTCCAGGAGGGCACAGAATCGCCGAAACATCGCTCGAAGACGCCAAAGATGCCTCCAGACGGCCCAAGGGGCGTCGAAAACGCAGAGCACTCCCAAGAGGGACCCAGGAGGCAAAAATCATGTTTGGCGTTCTCGCTGTTTCGGCTTCCCGACACTCAAGCACGGCCCAAGAGGCCATCAATCTCGCCCCAAGACCGCCGAAGAAGCCTCCAGGAGAACCCTACAGCGGCCCAAGAGGGCCCCAAGACGGTCCCAGAGGCCTGCAAGATGGCCCAAGAGGTTCCCAAGACGGCTCCAAGGAGGGGGCCCAAACGGGGGACCCGAACGGACATTTCGAGCCCTCGGCCCCGAGATGCCCTCAAGAGGCCCCAAGAGGCCCCAAGAGGCCTTCAAGAAGCCCGTAAGAGGCCCCCAAGAGGCAGCCAGGAAGCCCCAAGAGGCCTACATGTACATATACATACATATACATATACATAAACATATACATACACATGTACATGTACAAATACAAATACACATACAAATACACGTACATATGCATATACAAATACCTGCCGGGGGGGGGTCCCAGGGGGGGTCCCGGGGAGGGTCCCGCGTGAGATACGACTCCCCCACTGGGGGTCCCGGGGCCTACACAAAGCCTCAGACGGGCCAAGAGCCGAGGCATTCTACCACGCCCTCTCCCCCCTCCCCCCTCCTCCCTCCATCTTCATCTCTCCTCTCTCCTGTCCCCCTCCAGAACCGAACCGGCCTCCTGGACGCTCGACCACGGGACACCCCAGGACCCAGAATCCGAGGTCCCTGGGACCCTCCAGGACCCAGCCCCGAGGACCTCCTCCCAGGACCCCGCACCAGGAACCAGCCCCCCAAAAATTCCAGGACTCCCAGACCCCAGGCCCTGCTCGCC